GTGGCATTGTCCACATCAATGTTGTCGCCTTCTATTTTCTGTAGCCGGCTCTGGATTAATGGTCCGGTCCATGTCCATCTGTGCTCGGCGAAGGGCACAAGAATTGATTTTACTTTTTTGATTCATTGCAGCACCGAAGGATCGACACCTTTTTACTTCGCCAAGAGCAGCTGCTGCTATTACGGCTCCTGCTGCAAGTTCCAACTTCAATAATTGCATTGACAAATCTTTGGCTTTTGGCACTCGCACAGTTTAGAAACTTAGCACAAACCAAGCCAAATGAAAACCAAAACTCACAAAACTTTTAAGCACGCAACTCTAAAGAACTTCGAACACACAGACACACACATACTCATGCACTTAGATTGCTCTCAAATTAAATTAAAGTTATTAAATCATCAATTCAATCAGACAATTAAGAAAGTTGGCAGTTTGCAAGTTTTCGGCCACATAAACTTGACGACACATGTGGCAAGCCGACAGCTAACCAACTGTTCAGCTCTATCTCTAACATCAGTCTCTCCCTCGCTGCCTCTCTCTGTCAACATTTAGTGTCGCTCTGTTAAAAATTTTGTTCCAGCTCAAATTTGATTTAGTCGAAAAATTCAATTTGTGGCTGCCAGCGAATAAAGTCAAAATTTCAACACTTCATTACGCTGCATTCATATGATTTTTAAAAAATATCAAAATATATGTGTAACAAATGAAAGTGCTTAGACTAGCAGATATCCTGTAAAAAGAATTTTAGAAAGAATTTTTATTTTTTTATGGAAATTTTTTGAAAATATGCATATTGGAATAATGTAATAAAAATATAACTAATAATAGTTAGATATATAAATATATAATAATAATATACTATACAATATACAATTTTGTAAAATTCTATATATTTTTAAATATATTGCCAAAAAAATATACTAAATATATAAAATAAAATAATATTAAAGATCAGCGGCTCAAAGGCAAACCAATTTGTATTCATTTCAATATCTTTTATAATAGATTTTTTTGAAGCAGCGCTTAAATTAATTTTTGCAAACAACCCAACCTTTCTCTTTAACTATTTCTACAGGGTATTTCAATATACACGCCAGTTACCATCAGTTTATTAAAGTCTCAGTCAAATTCCAAACGGACATTGCCTTGCTTTGATGTAAGCAATTTGTGTGTGTGTGTGTGCATAGGTATGTGTATATGAAGATGTGTATGTGTATGTGTATAAGTGTGTATATGTGCTTTGTGTGTTTCGCTTGTTATTGATTTCAATTTCATTAACGCTTTGACTTTTGCTTCCTTCGCTTTTGCTTCGGCCCGGGGCACAACTGTCTGTCTAGCTGTCTGTTTCGTCCATTCGTCTCTCCAACTGACCGGCTGTCAGCCGCTGCCATTGTCAGGACAATTACCTCTGGGGCATGGCCATTACAACATGTAATGAAAGTAAACAACAAGAAATGCACGATTAAAGTAATGTAAATGTTGCCCTAAGTTACGAAATATACCATTTGACTACACAGTTAGCAAATGAGGTGAGAAAATATATAAGAGTTATGCAAATCAATTCTATTAGAATAAGGTAACTTGTGTTAGAAGTGCATCTTTAATTTGTTCACCTACAGCCAGCTGCACCTCTGATTGCTGAGTAAATAAATAGTTCTCATATAAATTCTTAGAATTATTTAGCTCTGCTCCAGCCTGAAGCTAGTTCAAGTTCTCATTTGTTAGGAAACCTATGAGTGTGTGTCTGTGTTGAGCTTTTCGATTAGCTTAATTCGAAAATTCCAAAGTTCAGGCATTGATTGAACTTGTCTTGCGCCTGGCACTAATGAAAATAACGCAAATGTTTAGTGTTTTCTTTCTCGTCTCTCTTTACTTTTTTTGTTAGCTTCCGTTTGGCAGCTTGTCTTGTGGATGGGGCCACAGAAGCTGACAGCAGCTGCCAACAGAAGCGTGTCCTGTCGGCGCCTGGCATGATTTTCAATTTGTGATCTTAATCAGCAGGTGTCCTGCATGGCTAGCGCTCTCTTTCATTGCTTTCCTTTGCCATTGCCATTGCCATTCTTCTCGATTCTCGATTCTCATTTTATTTTTTTTTCTTTTGCATTTTTGGTTTCCTATCAACATGAACGTCAGCATCATAGTCATCGTCATCGTGCTCGTCATTGCCTTTTTATTATTTTTCATTTGGGTTTTGGCTGGCTGCCTACTAATAGCAGTTGTTGCTTTTGCTGCTGCTGCTGCTGCTGGCCTTTGTTCGCTCTCAACGTTCGACGTTGCTAGGCATTAACTTTTGTCATTTTGAGCACCCCTCAGTCAGTGAACAATGCATTGTGAATGGCCAGGACCTGGCCGAGGACCTAAGGCCTCCATTTGAACCTCCCGCCCAATCCCACACTTAAGTCTAGACTGTCTGTTGGACTGGACAGTGCTGCCAGGGGCTGCCCGCTGCTTTTGGTCTGCTGCTGTGTTCATTTAATTAAATTACACCAAATTGTTCGGGTCGTCCTTTCAGTCGGCACACAACAACAGCAACAAATCGCATAAAATGTGTAGAAAATTACAAAATATGTTGGGCTGCAAAAATATTTGCTCAATGCCTGTTGCCAGTTGTCCTTAAAGTGTTCGAAATTGTTTCGCCTGTTGTGTGCTCTCGATCTTCTCGCCAGCCCTGCAATTGGAAAACAATTTGGCTTTTAAATTATGTGAAATACAAGCAGCAAAAAAACCTGAGCATAAGAAATGCCGCATAAATAATACAAAAATATTTATATTTTTTGGCTAACATATTCGAAAGATATGCGTAACAGCTGTGCCAAATGTATTTGTATTTCAAGTCAAATTGAAAGCTCTCTGCGTGTGTATCTCCATGTTAGTGTTTGCGAGAATTGCCGTCAATTTGCTGTTATCAAAATGCAATAGACTTTTGAAATAAACACAAAATATTTTCTCCAGCATTTCGCCAATGAAAACTCTGCAACTGATTAAATTTTTTTAAATCATTTTTTATTTTATTTACAAATTTCCCGTGAAGCACATTTACTTTGATTAAAGCTTTAGCTTCTCATTTTTACCTGCTCTTTTGACGTCGGCGAATTGCTGTTGTTAGTGATTTTTGGAATATTCGGTTATTACAGGCTGTTCCATTGCCAACTCATACGCACGCAAATTCGCACGCCAAAGCTGGCGAAACTTTTATAACAGCCCAGACGCAAATACTTTTCGGCGCACCATGGTCGATACTCTGCGAAGTGTGCGTATAATTCGAAAACCTAAAAGGCGAGGCTTATTTTAGTGAAAGTTAAAACTTGTGCAGACAAAGCATGGAGCATTAAGCAAGGAAAATTTATTTAATATTAAAAATTTATTTAATAAGTTGTTATAGAACACAATCTAAGGTCTAGTATAGACCTTTCTTCCTAAGAGAGTCAATAATTGCCTTAGAAAAACTTGTTAAATTCAGAAAATGCATTGCTTCTGCTTTAAAAGCTTCATATTTGTAGTCTATAAAGTTCGATAATTGAAGAACATAAACTCTAATTGTTAACTATATTAAAATTTTTATATGTTGTACAAGTGTCATATGCTGATACCCAATATTTAACTTGAGACTATTTATCTTCATTTTACTCCCTGTACATTCATTTTACTCCATTTACAAAATTAAAAGCATTCAGTTCATTCATTCACGACTTGTCAATTTTTGCCTCTCATATGACATTTCCAGCCCACCGTACACAGGCCAGAGTACAGCTGGGTGAACGTTTTATATTTTTCGTTGCCTACTTTTTGGGGCTGTTGTTTTGGGCACTTCGCAATGCTCGCAATCAAAATCATAAAATATAAGTTTGCACTGCGTAAATTTCGAATGCTCGCCGCAGCTGCCTAAATATTTTTTAATTTGCTTTGTTGTTGTTGTTGTTGTAATTTTGGTGTTGGCATTTGCCAACTGTGCGCGTTAAAGCTCAAGTTATATTATTTTGGAAAAAGTTCTTCAGCTGCCAACTGTTGCCCCAGCCTGCAGCTCGCAGTGATTAATCATAAACAAAAATCACTTGAAGCGCAGCTGCAGACGCAGCACACAAACAACTGGCACACACACACACACCCACACACACCTGTGCAGCGCTGTCATTCGAACAAGAGTTGACAAAAAAAAATAGATATAAAAGAGATAAAGGCAGGTAACTGACGGTTTGGTAACTGCGGCTCTCATATTGATCAATCAATGTCAGTTGGCTCCTGTTGCAAAATCTATAAGCAATATGATAACCATTCGGCAATAAACTCCAGCGTCTGACTGTCTGGCCGGCTGGCCGGCTGGCTGCCTGGCTGGGCATCTGTGCTATTGTCTGGCGTTGTCTTTGCAACACTTTGAGTGATTTGATATGGCACATAACTGCAGACAGACACAGACGCACACGCCCCCGCCAACGCCCATTTGCTGCTAAACCTTTGATTGAAACAAATTTCCAATATAACCGAATGACAGATGCGACGAAAAGCGACATTTTGTTTTTCCCCTCAGCTTCGCCCTGTCCCCTCCAGCTGCCTTCCACTCGTTCACATCCTTTTTTTGTTGTGTTCCTTTGTCTACCTTTGGCTGCTGCGCCAAAATGTGTCACTTTTTATGAGCGATCATTTGTATTTGCCTCCCCTTTTCACTCTCTCTCCCATTCTCTTACTCTCTCTACCTATTCTATGCCAATTTTGTTGCACCCCTTTGTGGCACTTATATTTGTTGTCGCTTGTTTCCCCTACCTTTTCCACTTGTTCTCTGCTTGTACTTGCTGCTGCCTCAGTAATGTTATGCTTTTGACAAATTTGAGTTTAAGTGTATTACTTTTTACTGTGGAAACTCCCCAAGAAGCGATTGTACTCAATGTTCTGCTCTTGTTGCAGATGATTAATTAATTGTTTTCCTGTTGCTCGTTTGTCTCTTTGCTGAGACTCGTGCAACGTAACTAATTTATACTTTTTAAAGATTATTATTTATTTTATTATTATTGTAATCTTTCCTTGTTTAAAGCAGCCTCCCGAAACAGTTCGTAGATCTTGTCCTTAATCCATTCCTTGCTGTGCGGCGCATAGCTGTCCGTGCTCTTCTGGTACACCAGACAGCAGATGTCCACGAAGGAGTCAATGAAATCGAACAGTTGCTGTATATCATATGTTATGGTGGGCATGTTGGGGCACTTCCGCTTTAGATGCTCCTCATATATCTTGCACACAGCCTCCAAACAGCTCTGAACGGTCTTAAATTCGCTGTAAGTGCGCGTTCGTGGACACTTCGTGGGATGAACAAACAACACGGTATGAGTCATATCAATCGAATTCTAAACAATTAAGAAGTTTTAGATTAATTACTTGTTAATTATTCGAAAAAAAATACACACCTTTTTAGCTGTAGATTATAGCTTAAAGTAATTCTTGTTTAATATTCTCCAAATCAAAATTGGTCTACGAATTAGAGCCTACTTTGATAGTTAAATCAATTTTACGGCGCTGCATAGAGTTGAAAAGTTAATTGAAAATATACAGAATGTATGTTTGGAATACTCCAAAATAATTTAAATATTAAAATAAAATATTTTAAAATATAATTATGTAGAATTCATTTGAATAAATTATAACAGTTCTAACACTCATTACATATCAAATGTTTCAAATACGAGGGTTTCTTTTTATATTTTTTATTCATATATATTTAATGCATCAAAATAATTATTTCGATATTTTACTATTACTTCAACATTTTTTTAAAAATCCTCAAATTTTTCCTGTAATCTTGTTAGGCTTCTTCTTGAACGTCTTCTCTATCTTCAAAATTGTAGCGCTGCGTTCCTCTTTCATGTGCCTCTTCAACAGATCAGAGCCAGGTCTAGGGAACGCGTCAGCTTAATTATAATTACAGAACAGATTCTTGGCTTAAATTTTTAGCAGATGAGTCCAAGCAAAATAGCTGTCAAAAATTATTTCAGCAGTCAAATTGGCAAATCTAATATAAAATAGCCAATTCTCTATGCTTTTCAACAAATCTCAACGATATCTGATTTCAGCTAAAGGAATATCCCTAATGCATGTATTTTCAAAGATTTCCCTCGATATATAAATATTTGAATATTTCGTCATAAAATCGCATAATTGCTTGATGATTTTCCAATCAATTGGACATCGAAACTTAAATAATTCCACACTTAACTGTACTTGACATGATTTTATTTGATGGGCGGAGCCAAGCCTTACATTTCAGCTGAAAACTGTCCCAGGCGGACAATTAGAGGAAAGGGTTTTAACGTCTTAAACACGTGCGTGCGCTTTCAATTTCATTTCCGTTGCGCTCGACTCTGCCCCTCTGCCCCACTTCTCCCCTCAGCCCATGCTCCCGCTTCGCCTTAGTACGTAATATACTTAAGTATGGAGCTCATAAAAGATTTAAGCGTCGCTGCCATTACAAATGCAATTTGCAAAAACTTTTGATTTCGCCAGGAGACCCAAGCGCAGGCAGTGGCTGTGGCAGCGGCGACGACAGCGGCATTGGCAGAGGTTCTGGGTTTCAGCCCAGAGGCTTTTATTGGTCTCATTAAACGAAAATGTTTGCGACCAAAGCGCGCTCAAGTTGGGTTTGTCCTCGTGCCGAGTTAGCAGAGTTCTTCTCCAAAGTTCTCTAAGTTCTACGAGTTCTCAGTTGTAGCCGAGTTCAGTGTCGCTTTCGATTTCTCGTTTCTCGTTTCCCAGCCTGTCATTGGCAAGTCAACTCACGTTTCGCTACCTTTTCAAAAAGGTGCGCGGCGTTGATTTAGAAAAACTTTTTCTTTTTCTCTACGTTCTTGTTGTTGTAGTTGTTTTATTTTTTTTATTTCATTTCTATGTGGAACTGAAGCGACTTGAGTGCGGCCAAAGATTTGAATGGTTTTTCACTTGACATTTTGTTGAAGTGGTTGTTGGCTGTGTTGCGGCCGGCAACGTGATTCGATTTCAATTCGTTTTGGTTACTTGGCCGCCAAAGACTTTGATATACAACTTTGCAATTAAGCTGCCAATGAAGCGGAAACGAGCCCCAAATTTTCGACTCTCAACTTTCGACGTGAGTTCGAGTTGACTTCAAATCAAATTAAATTTTACCAAATTATTTGTAATTTGTGTCACAGATGGAACTGTCAAGAGCTGGTTGGAGGCTCACTTGCCTTATATATTCATATTCATTGAGATTCAATTCAATTTTCACAAATTATTTGCTTGGTTAGTTCTGTGGCTTCCACAAAATTATTTGGCTCCGCAGCCCCAGAGCACACACACAGAGGTAGAGGTATGTGAATGAGAATGTGCCCAAGGGCTTCCTTCTCTTCATTATCTGTACAGCATTCGGGTAACCATAAAATGGTTGCTCTGTTACCCCTGCCAAAGAGACACTCGAGCAAACTATGCCCAGACCACAATGCTCGAGTCTTGCTATTGAATTTCCTTTATGACAGCCCATACAATTGTAATTGAATTGTTGGCCCAAAACGACGCTGACATTTTAGCTTCAACAAAGAATCAACTCTGATATCTATCACTTCAATTTGCATGGCATAACTAAGACCTATCGATTTAATTAGAACAAACGTCCATGCTACAAGTTGAATATTTCAGCATAAATATATATAAATACAATTTAATGCTAACTAATTTTATTAAATTTATGCGCAATTCAATTTAACAAACAAAAAATTGAAGTTAACTTTATATAAATAGTTTAATTAGCAATTTAATTTTTGATTTATCTATATATTTATTATATATCAATTAAGCTCGCTTAGTTAAACAATTGACCACAAATTGAGATTCAATTTGAAATTGTTATTTAATTTAATATTTGTTGGTAAAATCTTGCCTCAAAGCGGACACAAAATCCCATATTGAACAGCTTATTGGACGCATGTCACATTCTTTAAAGCGCCAAATCGATTGTCATTCGTGGGCTTTGTGGCAAATGTTGGGCGCTTTCTGAGCGATTAGGCGCCACATGAGCAGCAAAAATTTGTGGCGTGTGTGTCGATGTCGATAAGAACACGATAATGATGTCTAAGTCGCGCAATCCAATAATGAAAATTAATTTCACACACACCGCAAGAGTGAGAGAGGGAGAGGGAGGAGGGAGCTGTAACCCACGGGGCCCTAAAGCAATTTATGCCAATTTTCACACACACACACACACAGACTAATACAGAGATAAAGACACAGGTATGCCTGAAATATTTTTGACACCTGCAGAATTCCTATTGACAGCTGCGCCGCAGCGGCGGAGGCTGCGAAATACGCGTTTCAATTCGAAGCGTTTAGCATTTTGTTGGTTTTCAACGGGGGATGGTGTGGCTGTGTGTGCGTGTGTGTGTGAGCCGCAGGCTTAGCGAGTGTGTGTGTGTGTGTACGAGTGTCTGGCATACGTGAAATTTTTGACAGTTATTTTAATGAAATTATGCAAGCGCACTTTCACACATTCAACACCAAACGATCTGCCAGCTGAGCGCCGTGAGCTAAAAGCTTCAAGTTGTTGTTGCCATTTGTTGCTGTTGCTGTTGCTGTTGCCGTTGTGTACTTTGGCATCACGTATGTGGGTTAATTATATGCATTGACATTCAAAATTTTGGCTATTTAATTAGCTACGTTGCTGCTGGACTAGGTAAATAGTTTGAATTATAATTTTGCTAATTTGGTAAATTGTGAATTCAAAGATAGAATTTTTAGAATTGAATATAAATAATTTATGATTCCATGAAATTTATTAGTATTATATATCATTATATTATAATTCTATATACGCTTTAAATTTATGTATATAATCAATAATTTTAACGAATCATGCCAGCAGTTACTATCCTTTGCAGTAAAAAAAAAAACTATAAATAATTTTTTTTTATTTTTCTGACTTTTTTTTATACACTGAGTCCAATAAAAATGTGCATTTATGTGGAAGGCAGGAGCAGAAGACGTGGCATATCAAATAAAATATATATATTACTTATCAGAACATTTACCTGAGTCAATCTAGGCCTCTTCTTCTTTCCTTCAATATGAAGGCAGCAATATCGCAAGAAAATTAAAAGCCTTGAAATTTTAGGTGTATCTATCTGCATACACCACATCTCAGTGATGGCTAAGGGATTATGGATTAAGAATACCTGACCACCAAATTTGATTAGGAAAAAAAAACGCATAAGCGCAGCTGCTGCTAGCTCAATGTTTTTTGAAAAGAAACAAAATACTTGGCTTTGTTGCTTTGCGCAGAGTTCAGTCAGGCACTCCCGTCTAGCGCACTCTAACTTTTTTAATTTTCACGTTAAAACTGTTCACATTACATTCGCTTTCAATATGTCCGCATGGGATATTTTTAGATTCTTATAGCGCCTCTCCTTCTTAGCCTCTTCAGCCCAGCTTATATTTGTCTATAGCTTCTTTTGCTCTAATCATATTATACTTCAGTTACTCGTTACATATAGGTATATAAAACACAATGAACATTTCCTGAAATTTCGTTGTTTAATCAAACAAAAAACATCATCTTCACACATTATTTGCACTTGTAAATAGAATTTTCATTGTTGAAGTGCTTCAAAAAAGTTGTTGTCGCTGTTTTCATATATTTATTCTTGCGAATTGTAGTCCCAGCTTCTTTGTTCAAAGCTCATATTGTGTGTGTGTGTGTGTGTCAAGGTACCCGTTGTGTCATCGTCGCCTCGTCAGCGTCTCGAACTTCAACTCGAAACTCCCAAGTGGCTAAGCAGCAGCACTCGAAAAATGTCGCATTCGCTGGACCTGGACATGGAACTGCTGACAGCAGCAGTAACAGCATATCAGCTGTACGTAGCCCAGAGCGATAGCTGGGCACGTGTTGAGTGCGCACAAAAGTATGCTATGGAGCATACGAGCAATCTTTTATTTGATACGTTTTTGATTTGAGAACTAAAAGTCGCCGCAGCAGACAATGTCAATGTGTGTACCCACACACCCGACGCTCGCCCCTCTCTCTCTCTCTCTACACACTCTAACAAATCCAAATTGCTGTCGAAAACAATGACAGCGAAGTAGAGAGCAAAGGCGAGAGAGGACGAGACGAACAGACAGTTGACTGCGCCCAGTCTCAAGTGCAGCATGACACGTGGATTTCTCGTTCATTCTTTTATTTTTCTTGTCGCCACATCCCCAGCAGCTCTCCTGAGGGAGGTGTATGTTTTTGGTAATTTGATTTTCAGATTTTCTCTGATTTGTCAGAGACGCCAAGTTAACGCTACATTTGACGCCATTGGCCAACAAAACAAAAGAAAAAACCAAAAGCCCCACGAAAAAAAGAAAAATGAAAATCGACAACGGAAACGTGTGCTGAATTTTCAAATTCAAATGGTCTCCCAGCCGCACCCAGTCCCGCCCCATTCACTTTGTTGTTTAGCATGTTGTTTGCTCTCTAATAGAAAATCTTTTTGCAATTTGA